GTTGGCCTAAAGCTCAGAAAGCCTTCCAGCACGTGCTCCAGGCAAGTTTTTCAGCTATTTGCCAAATGTTCTTTCCTTTACCATGGTAAAATTTAATCTCACTGTCAGCTTAGGCTATAATGTGCTGAAACAGTTACCTTCCATTTGTCTTTCTGATCTTGCTTGTGTTTTAGTACATTACTTATCCTTCATCTGGTATAAAGGTGGTTTGTGGGATCTGGTTTCCTTTTTTTGAGAGAATCTTGAATTCCTGAAGGAGGTGCATCTGCTTTTCTTAGATCTATTCTACTAAAGTATTTTTTAGTTCAGACTATATTCTTCAGGAAATGAGCTGCCCTTTTTATTCTTTAAGGGTGTCCAAAAATGGTATCAAAGGACCAAAAACAGATATTTCAGGATGAGTTAGAATGGCTGCTTCCAAATTCTACAGGAAGTCAGAACACCTGTGGGAGCCACCTAAGCCCATACTACGAGATCTATGGTTGCTTCATGGACAGAGATTAATAGACCATTCTGTAAGGAAATCTGATGAGTGACCCAGTTTTTTACACCCTCTTTGTTAAGCACTACAAAACAAATACGTGCTTGTTTATCTCCACTTGTACCTTCAGTCACCACGTATTGTAAAGTGCTCTTTCCACAATGGGTTGATCCAGAATCCATTGAAAGCCAGTCCAAAGTTGTCTGGACTTCAATGGCTTTGGCTCAGGCCCTAACTTCTAAAAATACACCTCCCCTTCTTCCTTGCATGATGCTGCTGCTTGCTAATTCCCTTGATATTGATGCATGGGATGTTTGTGAGCTTAGGGAGCTTCTGTTGGATTTTTTCCTTTGCAGTTAAGGATGTTAAGAGCAGTTGGTGTGTTCGTTCATAGACTGAGGGGTTTGTCCTAGGAATTTCTCTTTGGTTTTCTCTCTCACAATGGACTTCACTCAAGAAAACTTCAGCAGAGCTGCTTCTTTCACAGAGGTCTCCTGAGGACCTAAACATGCTTCCTGGTCAGTTGAAATTGTGATAGGAGCACACCATCTTTATTGTGAAAGATTCTGTGATTTCTTTGCTTCCATTAAAGCAACATAATAAGGAAATGCTTTGTTAGAATAATGCACTTTCACTTAGAACTGACACATAGTCTTTCTTTTGCATTTATTTGAAACATTTTGTAATTCCAGAAATAAATACTGGACTTTTCTTTTGTTAAAATGTATATTTGTTCTCAGTTTTCTGCATTATGGTTTTGGGGTTTTTTGAAGTTAAAAGCCACAGATGCTGTCAAGGATGAATTTACAATATTAATCTTAGTTGAAGCTTACTTTATTTCTTTTATTTTCTTCCAGTGGTAACAAAGCTTGTAAATAGAGGATACCAACCACATTTGGAGGACTTTCTGCTGCGAATTAACTTTAATAACTACTACAAGGATAACTGACCTCTATAGAGTAAGGATCACTGGTAACACAGTAAAACAGAAGCTGTATGTATATGCTTATGATTTATAGAAGCTTATGCAAATGCCATGCAGGAGGCATTTTTCTTCAGTGAAATAATCTGCTATCGAAAAGCTTGAAGAGTATAACCACCATATACAGAGCATGATGAGGCTTAAAATCCACTAAACCTGCCAGTTGTTTGATCTGCTAAAAATTGATACTGTCATTATTGCAGAGATAGCAGAGCTGAGTGCCTGGTCTTAACACAGGAGAGAGTGCAAAACTGTATATCTGTGAATGTGTAAATGTTGTATTTTCAGTGGTGTGAATTTCCTTCAATGTAAATACATGTATGTGAAATAAATTGACAGATACTTTCTAAAACTGTTGAGACATGGGTATGAGGTACAAATGTTCCCACAGATATTAGTACCTGGTATTTGATGTGGTTTATTTTCAATCTGATATTAATTCTTAATCTAAATAGAACTAATTTCTTTAAGACTTACAGTCACAGTGGAAGAGAACAGGATGTGCCAAAGTGGTCTGTTAGGAGATACAATATTTGACTATTCAAGTACTTGGTGATTGTTGGAACACTTGTGCCAAGCTTAGTTTCTTTATCCTTAATTTAAACTATGCATCTTATTTTGTGGTGATTATTTAAAACACCTAAAACAGAAATTCAGCATCACTAAGGCAAAATAAAGCTGTAATTCCCAATATATTCCAACTACTGTGTCCAACTAAAGGATCATATTTGTATAATTTTCCTTTTCCCACTTTTTATCCCCTTATATTGTGAGAAGAGACAATTGAACTTCCAATTAATAATACTAGAATGTTATAGAGAGGTAGTCAGCCTTGAAATACTTTGGTTTCGAGATCCTGAAGTCATGGTTGGTTAAAAGGTGGATGTCTTCATGAGGAGCTCATTGTCTGATTAGAGGACAGTTATTTAAAGCTACAGGCCTATGGACTATTGAATAAGATTATTTTATAGATAGATAGTTTTATAGATAGTTTTATGATTTTTTTCTGAATGAGAAAAGAATATACCAGCTGTGAAGCTGACCTGAATGTTTCTGCTCTGATTCAAAGTCAGTGTCAAAACATGATAATGCACAGTTGTAACATACATCTACGCTGTTTCTTTATCTGTGCTGTATTTAATCAACTCTCTGCCTTTTGTTCTACAGAAAAGGGATTGCAAGAGCAAGTGGCTTGCAGACTGAGTTGGTTTGTTGCCCAGGGAGGCAGAGAGCTGTTTGTTTACCTGACTTGTTCTTCAGGAATTTACAGGACTGGGTGTGTATGTGCAGGCTTGGCTTCTGGTGCAGACTGATGTCTTGTCCTGAAGCCCCTGGACTTCCCAGCCAGCGTCTTTGGGAGCCGTATCTGATGTTTGGGACCTTACTGCTGGCTCTACACTGTTGCTGTAGAAAGACCCATTGAACATTGTCTGAGTCCCGTGGTTTGCCCGAGGCCAACCTTTAACATAAACACGAGCAGTAACACACAACAAAGATGATCATGGAAGAGCTGGTTGGACATATTTAAGCACTCCTGGAATTCCTCCTTCCAGCAATGATGTTCTAAGTAAGTGAGACAGCCCCGGGCAAAGCGAAGAAGAATGTTGTTCCCTTTAAGGAAAGTAGTTCAGACTAGCGTGCCATGGGAGGATGGGAAGGTCTGGTTGGTGTCAGGATCCTGCCGAGCCGGGCCCCCCCGGCCCTGGAGCCCGTCCCGCTGCAGCGCGCGGCGCCGCGGCTGCAGTTGCGGGTAGCGCCCTCGAGGTGGCGCTGTCTCACCGAGGCTGAGCGGGCGCTCCGGGCGGGCGCTGCGGTCCCGCCGGGGCTGCGCTCCCGCGGCTCCGCGGGGCCGGCCCGGGGCTCCCGCCCGGCGGCGTGGGGCATCCCTGTGCGATGGTCGTGTGCTGGGCAGGGCCTTTAGGAGCGGAGCAAACTTCCAGAGCCGTCCGGCGAGGTGCTCCCGGCTGTGTCCCTTAGCCTCCGGCATGGCCCTGGCTCCGGACTGCCGAAACCTCCCTCCTTCAGCACCAAGAACAGCTACAAGTGTGGCTACGCGCCCGCCCCGCCCCGCCGAGCCGAGCCGATCTCGAACGCTTTTGTAACTTATTCTGCATTTCCCCTCCTTCTTCGGCTCTGCTATAATTTGCCTTTCTTAAACGGTTTTCATGCAAGGGAATTGTAAGCTACTTTCTGAGTCAGGGACCACATTTCACAGTGTTTTTCCAGGAACTGAGGTATGGAGGCCTGAGAGTTCTAAAAGAAAAATAATTTAAAATCTGATCCTTGAGAGGGACTTGTGAAGTCACTTCAGAAAGACGAACTTTTAAATTCATGTTTCCACGGAGGAGCCAATGAGTGAATACAAAGAGCATCCTAAGTCACCAAAAGGGTCAGAGCAGCAGTGCCAGTGCTCAGACCCGTGCTCTAGGGAATTTGTGGAGGTATGGGAGAGGCTGCTGTAGAAGATTAGGAAGTAACACAGCTTGTGTTCATTTAGTTAGTAGAAGCAAAGCTTTGAAGGTACTTGAGGTGATTACAGTTCTTTGGGCAGAGGCTGTGGGCAGATACCTGCAGCACGTGAGTCCTCGGGCAGCAGCTGAATCCTCTGTATAAAAGCTCAACTGAGGGCTGTGGATTCTTACTGTGATTTTGCAGTTGCTGGGCCCTGTGTCCACACTGTCCTTGCTCCAGGGGTGTGTCCTGGGACAAGGACTGCTCTGGCGGTGAGGTCTGGCTGCCCAATGGAGCTGGGGCACAGTTTGTGTTCTGGCTTCACTGGGGGGCTGATCCTGTTGGTTTGGTCCAGGACAGCTCTGTGGTCCAATCCCAGTGGTGAAAAAGAGGCATCGAAATAACAGTCCTAAGCTAGGATGCAAACACAGACATGTGCAGTGAAAGTCATCCTGAAGAGTGTTTGAAATTAGGGCAATTTCTTGATGTCAGGGAGTGCTGGTTCCAATCATTGGTGCAAGGAGTCAGGAAAAGGATGCCTTCATGGCAAATGGATAGCATAGCTGCAGGGTTGGAGCTCCCATCAATTTCTCCTCTTACATAACTCCAGCCATTTATTTGCAATTATTTGCAAATTTCCTTAAAGTGTTGGGTTTGTATTAAAAAAAAAAAAAAACAAAATAAAACAAAACAAAAAAACCACCCAAACCAACAAAATCAATAGCAAAGCAACATAATAGCATTTAAAGGTCAAAAAAAAAAGTATTTTTATGATTCTAAATTATTTATTTGATGTTTGTCATTCTTTGCTTATTTAATCTTCCTTCAAATGTTTTTAAGTTGGTCTGCCAAATAAGATTTAGACTATGGACATTTCAACTAGGAAGTTTTAAGGAAAAAAATTGCAGAATTGTTTCTTTCTAGATATATAACTTCTTAATAAATACAAGTTTGTTTTTTTTTCTAAGTATTTTCCACTTTTAAATACTTGGCAGAGTTGATTGACTTCTTAAGACCATTTTGACTATTTGTCAGCAACTCACTGTGGGAAGGGTAGAGGAAGGACTCATTAATGCTGGAGCATTAGCTAGCACCAGAATAGGCACAGTGAGAAACTAGTCATGAGCTGGTGGTGTGTGCTCTCAGACCCTGAGCTGCTGTCTGTCTGTCTGTCTGCACCTTCCCATGCTCCAGTGGTGGACATACCTCACCTGGCTTTGATCACCTACACTGCAGACATTTACATCTGAGCCACTTGTTTAGACTCTTTTTATAGTTATGGGGAGAAAAAGACACTTCTGAGGTGTGATTTACATGTTCTGTTTAGACATCTATGCTAGTATCAGGTAACTCACTGCCTGGAAAGCAGCTATTTCTTCCCATTTCTATATTTTTCTTTTACACAGGGAGCCTAGAGAATGTTTTAAATACAGGAGTTTACATCTTAGATGTTTGAGAATATCTCCTGAAGATCTGTGTATTTTGCCCCAGAAAAGTCACCTCTGAGAACCCAAAAATGTATTTACATGATCCTTACAGAACAGTTTCAAGAGGAATTGGCTAATAGGGCATGCTCACACACTTACTCTGATGGATCTGGGCACACAGAGTGACACCATAATGTACCCAACATCACCTTGTGAACTTACATATCCACTCAGAGAATAACTTCAGGCCAGATGCTGGGCTGGGTATCTGTCTGCTGCCTGTATGGGCACTGTGTGGAAGCTGTGGCTTTAGGGGAATTCTCAGAGCCTCATCAAAAATCCTCTCCCTGCTGCATGAGGGTGGGTCTTGCAACATTTAAACTTCCAATCACATTTTAAAAAAGGGGATTTTTTTGTTTCAAGTGAGTCTTCGTTCATGATTTTGATGATTCTTAGAGCTGCAATTCTATCACTTCTGCAACAAGCCATGAAAAGAAATCCCTTGAAGTCTAGACAATGGATTAATGGTTTGTTTTCTGGCTATATAAGCAGTGTTAAACACAGAATCAAAGTTTACTTTATATCAGGCCTTGGGTATGTTTTTTTTATCTAGGGGGTACAAAGAGATTTTGCACACTTAGCTTAGAAAACCTGACTTCTCCCCTGATTTTCTGCTCCCGTTAATGAGGCATCTGCTGCAAGAATTGCACAAACAAAAATGGTGTACTCATGTCTGTCTGGAGCTTTATCACAGCCCCTCACGTCCTCTGATTTACATGGCATGGTACCTGTGCTGCACACAGGGCAGCTGCATCCTTCAGCTCCACAGCTGATGTCAGGGTGAGGGAAAACAGAGGTGTTAAGGGGAAGTGGCAGCACCAATTTGTATACAGGTGAGAGGAACTGAGAACTGCACTGCGCACTAAAAACCTTCCCGTGGACACAGGAAGCATGAAGTCAAATGACAAGATGCAACTATGTTACCAGGGTAGTGACAGCATTGTTTAGAATTCAGACTGTGATCATACACTGGATGTGACACCACTGTGAAACCCTCCTGTTGGGTTCACATCTGCGATCAGTATTGTTAACAGTAAAACTTTCAGGAAATAGGCATTAACAAAAATATTAAAATTGCAATTTTAATTGATTTTTATAAAATAATCAAATCTGTAGCACTTATTTGGAAAAAAAACCCAACAAACCCAACCCAGAAACAAACCAAAAAAATCCCCCAAACCCACACAACATTCCAAAATAAGAGCTGACATCAAAACATTCTGCAACTGTAGATTTACAAGCTCATGAAGCAGAGTTATGGTGAGATCTTACCAAGTCATGAAAAGAGTCCCACTATCATGTGAGACTATCCAGAGACTCATCTCCAATAGGTTCTCATTTCAGTTTTGTAATCTGGGTAGGTACCACTTGATTTTATGCGAAGGTACTTTAGGATATATGATATAGCCACAGGATTAAGTCTAATCAAGTATTTCCACAGAAAGCTTTTGATAGGAAGAGTCACCACTTCATTTTGAGCACAACTCCATGGCTTTTATGTAAGCAGAATATTTGACCAGTAATACTATTTTCAGAACCCATTGCAAATGCAGGCAGTAAAAATCAGGAAGCAAATTATGATTCAAGTATTTAGATTCCCAAATGCTCTAAGCTGCACTCCCTTCTCTCTGAAGAACTGAGCTAAGTTCTAACTTTCTGATCTGGACAAAATTTGGCCTAATCATGCTGCTGCTCAACCTCCTCCTTCCACACTGCTCCAGGAACAAGAACAGAAGAAACTATCATCAGAGATCAAACTACAACCCACCTGCTGAAATTAGAGTGCTGGAAGAGCACAAGCATTCCACTTGGCTCTGGATCATCATGCTTCTTCAAACACACAGCACTGATATTACTGCATGCCCTGGGGAGCCGAGCAGTTGGGTGTCAGTGCAGCTGGAACGTGTGAAAGCTTCAGAGTTTCCACTGTTGGTGAACATCTGTTAGACATACAACTTCACTGAGTGGCACACCAAGGGGCTGCATTAATCATTCCAACCCTGCCAGACCTCTTGCACTTGACTGACATGTAAGCAAAGAATATTTAGCAGCAAATGCGTTTGCAGTTCTCACTGTAACATTCATTTTCCCTTTTAAAGATAAGATAATTGCTTGTAAATTATTCCAAAGTATCTCCTCTGTGATTTTGGCAATATAGGTGCACAATAATTTGGTAGTTAATCCAAATTCTTGGATCTCCAAACACACAATTATATTATTATTCTCCTTTTCTGTACCACTATTAACAGAGACCTACTCAACCCCCCCCAAATTATTATTATTATTAGAATGCTGTTAAAAAGACTTGATACTTCAGGCACGGTTAAGAATCATTACTTTTTACAACATTTTGGTAAAGAAAAAGCTTGGACAGAGCTCCTCTAAAACTCTGTTCCCCTCTGTGTCCCAAAAAAAAAAGATATAAACTGAGAAACAGAATCAGCACAGTTATGTTGATCAGTTTGTAGCAACTTCTCCCCATTCTGTTGCTCCCTTGTGGACCAGGCACACTGTAAGAGACCACAGGTTCTGCAAGGGGATGTCTCAAGCTATTTCAAACTGCAGATGCACTTTCCCTCCCTGATGCAGTCCTGTTTACCCAGAACTGACTTTCTGCTAATGTTTCCATTAAGTGGTTTGGTTTCAGTAACCCAAATTTAAAGGAAGGATAGTCCTCAATGAAAGCTTCAAATTCCCACAAAAATGGATTAATCCCAGCAGACCTCTTTCAACTACACCATTCTTCCATGGGCTAGGTAATACACCTAGTTTGTCCTTTTCTTTAAGGACTCCAAAATTACACAGAAAGTGCTGTGCTTGTCAGAGATCACAGTTTATCACAGATCAGTTCCTCCAGCTCCAAGACAGAATAAAAGCTTACATACAAAGCATGCCCTATGTCCTGTGACAGTGAGGAGGACAAACTGACTATTAGTGCAGATGGATAAGCAACAGTCCAGCTGTTCTTTCTGTCTGCTGACGGCTCATACTGAGGAAGACTTAAAAAACCACTATTCAACCCAAGCTGGTGACAAGTTTGCATGGGGGTAGCAGAAGAATTTCCTGGAGGACACGTAACATCTCAGTGTGAGACAGTGATCTCTTTGGAAAGAGAAGCCTTTGCATTAAACCAAACCTTTCAGGTGTCTGAACTAGTAACAGTCCTTCAAAAAGAAACTCAGAAAGCTAAGTAACAACTTCAGAACAACTCTGATGATGTGACAATAATGGCAAACAACCTTCCCCTGAAACCTCAACTGAAGCATTTTAAGTAACTTGTGAGCAAGTCAGCTCCTCTTCTCCTCCCACATCCTCCATCATCTTTTACCCAAGCTCAAACAGCATGCTCCTAAATGGCCAACTTCCAGCTTGAAGATTTTCAAGGACCATGGAAACAAACTAAATGGTGCAAGAGTAGAGAAGGAATGGAAGAGCCCCACTGACCTGCATGATGAGCAGGTACCTCACCTGCACACTTCTCAAACAGGCAGACTCTGTTAGGAGCACAGAAGTAAATACACAACAAACCCGGATTTGAGTGCTGGGGTAGTTTAAGGCTCAAACTAATTTGGCTTATGGATCCTGCCCAAGGCAATTGGGTTACAAACTGCACTCCTGAGTTTAGCAGATATTTATGGGTGCTGTGTGCAAACATACTGAACCTGAATAAACTTCACCACCAAGTTTTCAAGTGCAGATGTATGTAATCTCCCTTAATTCTGCTCTTAAAAAAAATTCAATTGCTCCCCCAAATTCTAGCCTGCACACGTTCTCAGAAAATAGATAATGATTAAATACCAATCTGCAGGTTCACAAGAAATGAACTACTTAATTAAATGAAACATAGCTTCAAACAAGCAACACTGAATCTGTTCCTCCATTAAAGAGGACTAAAAGTTTCTGCATAGAGAAAGCAGTAAATAAATATGAGAAGTACTATTAGTTAAGACATCAGACAAAAACAGATCAGATTCCTGACTTGCTGGTTTTGTCTTCACATAACAACAACTCCATTTCGATGACTGAAGTTCAGCCTGCTTCAACATAAAACCTTGTTTTTTCCTTGCAATGTAGTGAGGATAAAGGAAAAACTTTGGGCCTTAAAACATTTAGATTACTGATGTGTATGGGCTGTTGATTGTCACTGGTTTGTTCCAATGATCCACAATTGCTTCAAATTAAGCACAGCTGAAGACTGCTGCAGATGCATCCAAATGTAGTGTTGTTTCAATAACTTAATAGCACTTTGATGTTTGCCTTGCTGAATTCTTCACTGCTGAAGGAGGATCAGAGTCTTCAGTTCACAGCAAAAAACGAAACAAGGCAGTTATGAAGATCACGTAACGCAGAGCTCTGAAGCCCACAGCGGAGGTTTGCTGCAATATGATTGTTTGCTTCTGCTCTCTTGAGAACAAACAGCTGCTGTAGCAGCTGCTCCCTCCTCTTCTGCATCCTCCTTTATCTCCTGGAAACCTTCTGCTTCTTGGAATGGATGCTCTAAAAGTTTCAGCACATTTCTTACCTAGAGCGAAAACACAGCATGGTTGTTAAGAATTTAGGAAGTGAAGGCAAAATGATATGGAGACAAATCTCATGCCAAATAATGAGCAAGTGTATTGTATTTAATACATGAACTCCAGACAAGCCAAATATTAAACAGATGAACAATATACATAAGATGCAAACTGTAAAACTGTACCTGGCTGCGTTTGTATGTGTATGGGACTCAGGCTCAAATAACTTGAAATGCAAATATTAAATATAAATTCTTATATAATTTCTCAAAATAATTAATTTCCCCATATTCTGCATGTAATGTTCCACATGCTGAAGTCCACAGGTGAAAGCTGTACATTTTAAAAGGTAACATTTTCCAGAAAGTAACAAATATAAATTTACCCTCAACTGCCTTCCAAGCCACTCTCAGGACGTAAAAGCAGTGTACATGCCTTGTCCTGAGGTCAGCCTACAAGAGCTGGTGAAGTTCACATTCAGAGTTTTTATTCCATTATTTGTACTGCAGTCCTTAAAATTAAAGTTACAATAAAAACAATAGAGATCTCCTGAACAGTGAATTCCCGATCCCCTTACTGCCCAAGATTCCAGACTAAATTTTGCCTGGTATAATGTCAGTCATTGACAGCACCACTATACATCCACACAAGCCTAGAGAGAGAGAGAGCAATAATAGCATACCTCTGAGAAATCCCCATTTTCAGCTGCTTCTATGGCATTCTGGGCAATATAATTCCTCAAGATATATTTTGGATTGTTTGAATTCATGACCTTGACATGCTCTGTGTTCCAGGCATCAGAATTACCAACGCTTTCTATTTCTTTCTGCAAACGGACTCTGAAATTAAGCAACAACTGGTTTTTACCAAGAACCATATGTAGAAGTTGACACATTTTCTTGTTTTGAGATACTTCATTTGCAGTTCTTAAAAAATACTACATCATCTATAATGCTCTCAGTTTATAAAATGCAGCATGACAACAGACTAGAAAACACCACTTAGTTTAAAAGCAGGGACAGTCAGCAGATCCTGACACAGCTTGAGGAAGTGGCACAGCACAGCTTTTCTGTTCTCCAGTCAGATCAAGACACAGGATATGGTCTGTTCTGCATTGCTCTGCAACAACTGACACACTCAGGTCTGTCTTTCAAGTATTTCTACATTGTTTATTGGTAAAAGCTTTTGCTGTTCTGGTAAAAGCACGAGGATGCAATACAGCAGAGGCAGTTTCAGGTACCTTCTATCAGTAATATTTGCTAAAGCTCTCAGCCCTGCTGGAGAATAAGATCACTAGAACAGTCTGGACATTTGTTTTTCCTGGCCATGATTTCTGTTTTCACTCTCTGATTAAAAATACTTGCTTTCTGTATTAACACATAGACTTTTCCATTGGAGAAAAACTTCAAAGGATAGAATGCTTAGAGGTCAGTCAGTTGTAGTTATTGAGCACTTAAAAGTTCACAACTGGAATTAGTCTATGTCAGAATCAACATCAACACTGCTGAAGCACTTTTCATATTAGATTTGATGCTACATGATTTCTACATCTTCACACTACCTCAAAATTTAGTAAACAAAGTAAGATGATGTCCTTGAACTTTCACAGCAACAAAGACACTGATGATGGCAGTAGACAATATTCTTCAGTTGCATGCCCTCCCCACCCTCCTAATCTATATTTGAGATATGGTGTCTTTTGTGAGACATGCACATTGTTCTCAAAATGCAGGAATATAACAGTGCTATCAGTACTGAGAAACCTTACCTGTATTTCTCCAGCCATTCCTTCCAGTGTCTTTTATTTCTGCTAAGTAAATCGTCTGCGGTTAATTGCTGCAGTTTAGAGAACTGTTCAATGCGCTCCAGTTCTTTATTTATATTAGCTTTTGTTCCAATTAATGCTAACAGCTGAGGATTAGACTGAGCCAGCATCAGCATCATTGACAGTTGTCTGGGAACAAAAAGAGCAAACATGTTAGATACTAAAGTTGAGCTGCTCGTCAAGAACCATCTCTTTGCAATCAAAGTAGATACAAAAACATTCACAACAAACTGGGATTTCACTAGAGAGGTTAAGTAACAGAAATTTGTAATTAACAAAACAACTTTTTTTATAAATTATCCTAATTTTACTGTTTCTTCTTCCTTCTTCAGTGTGTTTAATTAATACTCCTGTGGTATATAAAGTGCAGATAGTAGATTTTTAAAATTAGTGGTTTAGTTGCACTATTCTCATCAAAATACCCTTTGAACTCCGAAAGAAATTTGCTAAAAATTTTTGATCTTATTTAGCTATGAAGATAATATAGAGTTCAAAGGTTTTGTTGTTTGGGGTTTTTTTTTTTTTTCTTTAACACCTACTAATTTTGCCAGTACTAATAAAAACCCAATTGATATGGGGAAAATACCTCATTTAAGTTGCATGAGACAACATTGTGTTTGAATTTTTTAGTTAGCAAGTCTAAATCACAGACTGAGAACTGCTTTCTGGTAATAAATTCCAAACAATATCCAGACTATTTTGCTGCAAGTTTGACTAGGATTGCATCTTTTAATATTTCACTGTGTTAGCTGGTGCTGTACAGTAGCTACACCTTATTTTGCAATACTGTGCTAGCTTTTATTTTTCCTGAATTACTAACTACAGCATAGCATAAAGTAAAATAAAAACCCAAAGAGCTGCAGCATATCAAAATACAATGTGTTTTTATTTTCTCTGTGAATGCAGTTTTAAGCAAAGGACAAAAGAAAACATTTCTCCCGGCATCAAAACAGACTCATTATATCAAGTTATATTTTCCTACTTTTAGTCAGCAGAGAGAAGCCACATGCTTTGATTTATGAGTTCATATGAAGTACTATCCAGATCTGGTGTACACATCTGACATGCCTAGATCTGTGATATCCAAGTGCTGGGATTAAAAAATAAATCAGTCATGCACTCACTTTAATACAGTACTATTCCCCTCCAAAATGATCCCTATCATGATGACTTACAGCTACTTTTCATGTTTCTCTAGTCCTGAATGCAGTGTTTAAAAAATATTGTCCCATCTCTACCACACAAACCATCTCTGTATTGTGCTATCAATACACAGCAAAAGCTGAAAATTTGGTAGGTTCATTACCTTCATGGAGCACTTACTAAACAAGGCTGGTGGGAGGGAGAGAAGTATATCGAAAAAACCTTTAATTTTTTCTCCCCCATCTCCAAAAACTGAAAAACTGCTGCAGACACTGTTATAAACAGCAGATGAACATGAATTATTATTTTTCCATGCTCAGAGTAGCTGGACTGCAGAACAAATGGGGCATGGACTACACCACCTCAAGGTTATCCTTAGGCCAGAACTTTGGCAGTTGAAAGTGACTTTTTGCTGACACTACACTAGCAGAACACAGTAGCATTGTAGCTCAAACCCATTTCTTCTCTAAAATACTTCCATATCACTTCATTACTTGTCAATCTCATTTCCTCAAGTCAGCAGAAACAGGGAAGGAAATAAAAAAAAAAAAAGACCAAGCAAAAGCTCAGACAACTTTAACTCAAAAGCCAACTGCTGAAAGTCACTGCTGTGTACCATAGTGCATCTACTTAACAGTGACATTTCTAATCTTAAAATCAGTGAAATATTATATACCATGCATACCATTATGGTTATAATGAAACTAAAAGCAAAAACCAAAAGCATTTAAGAAAAGTAATACCTTGGATCCATCTGTGGTTTAAAAACAACTTTCAGTTCTTCGACAGAAGCACACTGACTTGTAAGGTCTTCCAAGAAACCTTCAAATTTTGAAGGATCAATGTCTACTGAGAATGAACTCAGCAAGTAAAAAATATTTGTGAAGTCTCCGGCTGAAAAAAAAATAATTTATCAGTAATGCAACTAATAAAGCAGCAGGAAAGCAGTTCCCATACTTCCTCCCTCCCTCCTCCCTCAGCAGTACAGGTCACCATTCTAAAGAAGCAAATAAACTGTTCTTTCAGTGAGGGTGCAAATGTGAGTTGCATAAGGCAACAACTACTCCACAGTTCACACAAAGGTAATTATTTTCAGCCTTTTGTTCTTCTCCCAAATAACAACGTAGTTGCACAAGGCTATTTTCTTTTAAGGTCAAGATATAAATTGTATTTTGATTTGATAATAGACTCTGATAGGCTATTAAATAAGCACCTTCTGTGCTGTTCACCAACCTGTGAGATGCATGGTTTCAAGCAGATCAGACACCAGCTTCCTATCTTCTTCTAATTCCAGTTGGATTAGGCCTAGTTTTTTTCTCATCTTCTGCAAATAGTGTTTCTCAAATTCTGCATCATATTCCTCTTCCAGGATGAGTTGGCTTATTTCCAAGGGCAGCTCTGGAACTAAAGCTTCAGCAAGTTTCCCCAGGTTCCACTTGCAAATCTCTGGCTGTTTGTTGTAAGCATAGCGCCCTGTATTATCAGACCCATTGCACACGTGCTCAGGGTCATACCTACAAGAGAAGAAATTGTTAGCATTCTTCTACTTATCTGGACACTAATACTGTGAGAAGTAGTACTTTTATTATTTTTTATTATTTTAGTCTGCTGGAACTACAAAATTTGAAAGGAAACACTCCTTGATTCTTTTCCCAAAGCCACAGGCTACAAGAACAGTCTAACAGCTAGAGAAGTTGTGAACACATTTAAAGTACATTGACAAGAAGAATTATAGGACAACTACCTTGATCTCCTTTGCCGTGAAGGTAATTCAAAAGTCTGCTTTAGAGTTAAAATATTAAAGCAACCACAAGCAAACACCAGGATTGTCCTACATAGCAAGAACAACATATGTACATTGCAAACAATGATGCCACACTGACCTGTCCATAAACCCAAAAGGGCCATAGTCAATGGTGAGTCCAACAATACTCATGTTGTCTGTATTCAGCACGCCATGGCAAAACCCCACACACTGCCACTCAGCAACCAGCCTCGCTGTCCGCTTGGTGACCTGAAAGAAAGGACATTGTGTTCATTTGTCACCACAACAATGTATTTCCAACACATTCATGTATTTCCTAGTCTGAACTATGTTTCTACAGCTCCCATGGAAGCAGATTCTGGCAGTATGCCGTGCACACAAACATCTTAAGGACAGCTTGCCTCTCTCCTCCTGTCAGTAGCTCCCCTGTTTCCCTGCCTCTCATTTCCACTTGCATCCACTTCTCTCCTTCCATGCTTGACTTGTCAGCCAATTGAACAGCTTTCAAATGCTCTGGGGACAGGACACTGAAACAATGTAAACTGCCTGAGGTCAGACTTGCATACTAGTGCAGTCATTATACAAATATATTCTTTTGCCCATTATTAATTTTAAAGAGTAACTAAAGGCAGGGAATCACATAAGCAAGTGTAGTCTTTTGGTTTACCTCATATGTAGGGGTGATTTAGAGGGAGGTTAAAGGGCTGACACAAAAAACTATTCCGTGCAAACAGGTTTTAGCACTGATAAGCATTTCTCTCCATGTTCTGAGAGTGGAAATAAAGCTACAAGATTAAATAAAAATATTGCAAGAACAATGATTTTATTTAAATGCAATTCTTCACCGAATGCATTTTCATCAGTAATTTTTCACTGCTGAACTGAGAACTATTTATATGGAACTAATTGTATGGAATTGACTAAAATCACTGCATGTGCCCCATCCTTCAAATAAATAGTGTAACATTTTAAAGCAGTCCTAGTTATTTAAATACATTAACCCACCTGTCAACTACAACACTAAAAATCTAAAAGTCATGAAGCTAACATGGTTTTTAAATAAAACTAGTTGCAAATACTTTACTAAATTGCTGTAAGTAAAAATTTTGCATAGCCATTCACTAAAGCTTTTAAATCAAATTATTTTCATAGATAAAATCATTCTTCTTCCCAAATAGCTAACAATGCACAAAAATTCAACAACTATTTGCTCCATGCTGCAGTGTAAGTATATTTCATTGAGGTTCAAAAGACAACCTATAAATTGTTTAATTAGATGTTTCTATGCCTTTGTGTTCAAATCCAGAATTTTTCTACCTTTTTTTTAAAAAACACACGCAGTCAAGTAAAGAAGAAAAATTAGACAAATCTTGCCCTGACAGGCAGTGAAAACCACAAATGATGCATAGAACACAACCTTTTGGTCTACCTTGAGACCCCACACTTCTAATTTTTCCAAAATTCTCCTGGTAGGTACTTTACACATTTTCCCTGAGTGCTGATTCACGGGGCAGCTGGAAGCCAGCAGCCAGCTACATGTGTCCAAACTGATTACCTAGGCCATGACCCAGTAAGAGAGGCACACCCTGCAGAATGGCTCTCTGCCAGGAAAATATAAAATTTAAAAATGAAAAAGTCCTGGCCACCAGGGGTGGGATGAAAGCACTCCAGTGGTAAGGCAGTCCTTGTATGGATGCATTGCTCTCCACCAGGGTTCTGGCAAAAAGAAATCCCCCTGATGAGAGTGCCCAAAAGCAACTAAAGCTTGGGTGCCACTCAAAGATGGGTATATTGATAATGAAGAGACAGCTCTGCATCTTCTTTGACCTTTATTTTTCATCAACATTTTTCTACAGCTAGCCAAACTAGAAGGCAAGTATGGTGTATGTATAAATGAGACTGTCAGCTCAAGGACATGCTCATTTAAATTTAAACAACAGCTACAAATTATTTGAGAAGTACAGCTAATGATGTCTGCTTTCTAGACAGTGCTGTGAAATGCAACCACCTGTACTTTTTTCTCCATTTCCTCCACAGTGCAGAAAGAATGATAAAACAAGATAGAGTTGAAGTGACAGCGGTTCCCTGCAAATGGATGTGTTTGTTTCATTTAAAAAGGATGATTTTCAGGTGGAGGAAAGTCAGGAAAGTCTCCACTAAGGATGAGAGAGAAAATATGAGGAGGCAATGACAGCACAGACATGGGAGTGTGGACAGGCAGTGGCACGAGGAGCACAACAAACAAAAAATGGATCTGGGGAAACAAGAAAAGGATGCTAGGAATATGGGTGGAGGGAAGGAAAAGGAAACCAGTAGTAACTGGGCCAGGAAAAGCAGCCAAAAGAAGCAAGGAAGAAGCAGACTGGGCACACACACATTCACAAAGATCCCCAAGTCCCATGACTTTTCTGCCATCAGGAAGCAAACATGCCATCACAGCTACAGAGCTGAACACAACAGAGTGTGTTCAACAACACAACAAGCCACAGCTCTCCTCATCAAACCAAACTGTTCACACACAAAGGACTTATCCAGCAGAGTTAAATTCTTTGGAACATAGTGGTGAACTAAGCCACAGCTTGCTTTGAAGAATTAATGCAAGTATGCACAGGTTGTGGTAAAGAAAAAAAAGGCACGAAACCAAACTGTAGAATGTCAGCTATCAAGTCTGGCTTTTGACCTCTTACTGGTCTGTTATGAAAGTGCATCCATCATGCTGCAGCCATTCCTTCAGTTCATACCAGATAAGTTCAGGCTTTAAAGCACCACAACAGCTTTCAGAAAGTATTAGACACTGGTATTTTTTAATTACCCTGTTTGCTGGCTAGTTATAGAAGTGCTCAACTGCCTTGAAACATTTCAGTTCTGAAGTTTGAAGTTAAACTGATTTGCAGACAACATTCCTGTTTGTAATTTGGAAAATGAGACTCAGCATCTCAGTATTTTACAAAATGATGCCTTGCAAGTAATGTCTCAGCACCATCAACTCATCATCTGACAGTAAGAGCCAGAACTCCCTCTCCCAGTCTAAGATAGTTCCAGAAAATTGAGATAAGCCTTTGGAAGCTTCCCCAAAGCAGGGAAATCATGATTTACCATTAGGAAGGTTACACTGTTTTCACTGGTTAGATCAATACCAACACTGCTTTCATCAATAAACGGGGTCCACTAAGGATGCTTTCTTCAAAGAGGAGTTCAGACAATTGAGTGATACGAAGTATTAACTGACTCCAGTCACCTGTGCTTTCAGATGCACTTCCTAAAGACAACTGATATGGATTTATGAAGAGAATCTGATCTTCCTTACCTCTTTGAAGAAAGCAGCATTCCTCTGAACAGTGTCGTCCGAATAAGCCTCCTGGATTTCTGGGTAGAAAGTGCTGATCACATAATCAAGCATCTGTATTCGAATGTCGTTTCGGTTCACGCTGGGACCCTTGCGTCCTGTGTATTCATCAGGGGGCTTAAAAATTTCAAAAGAGCCAAATCTGTTTCAAAATAAAAACATGTTTGAGAATTATCTGATACTATTAATTTGATATTGCATGTAATAAAAACATTTACTGTTGTTGCAATAACAGCACATGATCTCTTAACACCAATTCTTCAGGTGACCGAGAGAAAAGATCTGCAAGATTCCTACACTGAACGTGGTGAGGCTCAGTGACTTGGTGAAAGGAAGCTCCTACATCCTCATGTAACCAAACTGACCAACCTTGCCAGTACTGAACACCAGCTCATTAAAGTTTCTTACAACTCCTTCTACTGAAAAATTTTTATCCTGCTAATATGTAGAAGTTGGACTTTTTTTAAATACTAGACTGTACATCAAGCATACCAGATATATTTTCCATATATGTAAACACACAGGAATGCACACAAATACACACATACATATTCCTCATACCTCACATGTTCTTCATACCTCACCTTCCTCTAATATTCTGTAACCTTAGAGGAAGCAATGCAACTTCCTGAAATGCCTAATGGCTTCTGCTGCAGCAAGAACCTCATACACTTCTCAGGCAGGGAAAGTACACCCAAACTCTCACAGAACTACATTAGAACTGGAATTAAGGATCAAGGTATAATTCACCACTATTACTAGTACTATAAAAAAACAATAATGTATTCTGTACAGGAATAAACATGAAAAATATCTTCTCCTAAGTCTGCAGAACTTACTTCTTCTTTCTACCAGGCCAGCATCTCTAGTATTTATTTGTCTCAGTGCAAAGACAGCAGCCCATCCCATCTGCTGAACAAGAAAAACAGCTTCCTACAGCCCAGCCAAAGAAGTTCCAAGCCTCCAGAACAAGAAACAAACAAACAGTGTGTACTGTTAGGGAAATACAGTTTAAAAGACTGCTTAGTTTTACAGGAAAAAAAAAAACAAAAACAAAACCAAAACAAAATGATCAACAAAATAGGCTCCTACCTTATAAATGTAGAGGCTATTCTCAGAACAACCGTACACCTTTCATTTTTTGGATTTCCATCATAAAACATGTCCCGAACGACTCTGGAGTCGGATGTGACGCAGGTGCCAGCCCGTGTTGTTGGTATTCCCAGGTGAAACATGGCCTCGCTGCACAGGAACTCCCGGATGCTCGACCGCAGCACTTTCCGACCATCAGCTTGTCTGCACCAAGGAGACATGGATGGCTTTTAGCCTACAAAGGCAGGAACTCCTGTCTCCTCTGTAGCAGCAGAGAAATAAAAGCCTAGAAGTGACACACTCTGTCCATGGTCCCACAAAAATGTAGTGGCAGATGTGAAAAGCTGGACCTTCAAACTTCTGCTGAAGTTCAATCACATGGACACAACAACTTGCAATGAAGAGCACACACAACAGAATAAACCTTCCAGGCACACATATCCCTTCTAATCATTAACTATGTTTGTTTTATTGATGCAACAGTCTTTAATATTTTTTTTAAATTTGGACAGCTATAGCTATTTTATTGTTTATCAAGTCAATGTCTTCTTCTTAATTAAATGAAATATGATGAAAAATATCATTTTGAATCTTTCTGGGTAAGCAGTCTAGAAATGGGGTCCTAAATATGAGCATGCACAACAGCTGCACTAAAAAAAAAAGAAACCCAAACACCTAAACAAACTAGCTTATTTAATAGATACTAAGCATATGGAACAGACACAGGTGGTTCTCAGCCCACACTCCCAGCACTTCCAAAGCCACAGGCAAGCAGGAGAGCTGCCCAGGGCAGATCTACAAAGCTACCACTATATCTGGGATTTTCACTGAGATTTCCTTAACCCTCACAGACCTGAAGAAGGCCTTCAGAGGACCACATACATGAAACTAAGGTGTTACAGAGACCGTATGGCTGGAACAGAAAATATGGGAAATGCAAGTGGGAAAAATTACCTGAAATATTTAAAGTATTTAAAGGTTAAGGTGACTAATGGAGATACCCATCCCTTGCAGGGATTTGGCCATATAGCATTCTGGGGACTCTTCCACTATTTCCTCCTACAGCTGGGAAGAGTGGGAGGAAGGACCAGCAGGACCAAAATGCCCACTTTCAAATCCCGTCTGTGTGGGCAGCAATTACACACCGCTCTCCTCACTGTCATCATGGTCTGCATCCTGCCACAGGGGGAAACCACAGGGATTACCAGGGCTATCCCTGGTGAATAACCAGGGACAGAAGTAATGTACACCTGAACGATGCAGAGAAATGCAGTTACACTCTTGTTTTCCAGTGGAAAATTTTGCCACCTCCTGCTCCGGCATTTAAGCATTACACTCGCTGCTGCCAAAGTTAAACAAAAAACAAATAACCACGAGGGCTTTAGAGGTGACCTTTGCCTCAGGGAACGATCCTCAGCACGGTACCAGCCCCTCGTCAATGCGATCTCGGGCCGTCCCCGTCCCCGTCCTCCCCTCACAGCGCCCGAGCCAGGCACGGGGCAGCGGGCGCTGCTGCGGTCCCGTCCCGCCCGGGCCTTACCGGGAAAAGGGGGTGATGCCGGCGCCCTTGAGCTGGATCTCCCAGCGCTCGCCCCGCGGGCCCAGCACCTCGCCCAGGTACATGGCGGCGCCGTCGCCCAGCTGCCCCGCGAAGCTGCCGAACTGGTGGCCGCAGTAGCAGTGCGCCGCGGGCTGCGCGCCCGCCGGCACCCGGTTCCCGCTGAAGAACAGCGCGGCCTCGGCCTCCGCCGCCGCCGGGTCGGCCGCGGGCGCCTCCAGCCCCAGCAGCGCCAGCGCCGGCAGCGACATGGCCACGAGCCGCGGGTTCTGCAGCGGGCTGGGCCGCACCCGAGCGAAGCAGGCGCCGGGCACGGTCCGCGGGCCGCTCTCCTCCGAGGCGTCTACGGGCAGCGAGCGCAGAGCCAGGTTGTCGAAGCGCAGAGCGCCCAGCCAGCCCCCGCCGCCCTCGGGCTGCTGCATGGCCGGGCCCGAGGCCGCCCGCATCAGCCGCGGGGCGAAGCGAGCGGCGCTGCGCAGCACCGAGGCCATGCGCCCGGGCCGGGGGCGGCGCCGCCGCGAGTCCCGCCCATGGGGACAGCCCGCCCGGAGACCGGGAGCGCGGCTGGGCCCGGCGGGTGAAACTGGCCCCGGGCGGAGCAGCGCGGCCAGCGGCTCGCGGGGGGACCCACAGGAAGAAAAAAGATAAACGAATGTATGCCGCAAGTCAGAGCTTATTCAGAATGCTCCTGTTTTGTGTTATTTCAGTCAATAGCAGCTACCTCAGTGGTGGGTCAAGACCAAACCTCTCCAAGGCGCGCACACTTAGTTTCTCTGAAGGCTCCAGTGGATGCCGCCACTCAAACCCGGACATAGCAGGTAAACCATCTGCAGACTGTAGATGGCGCTAAATTACTACTATTGCTTGTACTCTCCGGCTAAACTGAGCCGTGAGTCTCAGCTCTAAAGAATCGGCGTGTAGCCATAACAGAGAGACAACGAGGTGACGGCAGCAGGGAGAGGGAGGGGAGCTGCCCAGCGGTGGGTGCTGCACACCCAGAGCCCTGTTGCCCTTGTACAAACCTGAGCAGCTTTGCCGAGCTTGCCCACACAACTCTCCTGCAGGCCCTGGAGAAAGCACATGTGCAGCTTAGTTGCTGGAGAGACACATTACAGTAATAACCAGCCAGCTCTAATCAAATATCACTTTTCATTACTTTGTCCAGTTTGTAAATCATCTCTGTAGCCAGAATCAGGGACATCTTACCACTGAAAAAATGTCACCTAGCTGGGATAAGTTTTTCCCACTTTCCCTCACATACTAGTCATGATACACAAGTACCAAGTATCTTGGATAAGGCAAGTGTGAAAGTAGCTGTGTGCACCTTTCCCCCTGCCCTTATCATCACTAGAGCTTTTCCATGTCATACTACACAAACCAGCAGACAAAACATCCAAGCAAAAGCGTTTGCTCACTTTGCAGCACAGTCACCCCCAGCAGGGAGCTACGATGGAGGAGCCAGAGCCAGGTTAGGTGTCCGGACTCAAAGGACAAGGGCTTGTTATGGAAAAGAGCACACATTCCCCCAGCTCCCAGCCTTTTCTCTGCTGGGAGTGAGGGTAAGAGCCTCCCTGGAATATAGAAAGCTCCACTCTGCAGCAGGCACAAGGCAAGCGACAGAGGGGATAACTACACAACCCCCAGCCAGCTTCTTCAGCTGGGAGCGGCTGAACAAGACAGCTGCTTCAGCTGTTCCTGGGTCCTCCCATACACAGGGACACACACAAGACCTCCTGAGGTGTGAGGATATACACAGCTGTGCATTTTTTCACCCGAAGAGTCAATAGACTGATTTCAGGTGTGTATCTTTGGAGCAACTTTTGTCCTGTGCTTGATGTCTTCCATGTGCATTTCTATCAAAGCAAGGGCGTGCCAGACGAAGGGGAGAGAATGATGAGGAGGACTCTGTCTAATCAGAAGGCTAATTAATTACTTTATTATACTATACTATATATATTTCATCTAAACTGAATCTGCCATGCACTCACTCTGCACACAACTGCACAGAACTGCACTCATCTCCTGACTCTCCCATGACTGTCAGCAGACAGTCCCGACACACACACACTCTTGGCCCTAACAGGCCAAGGAAACAAAACATTCTCACTCTGGATAAACAATCTCCATATTGCATTCTACTTTGGCACAACACAGGCACAGCAAGTGATAAGAATTCTGTTTTCCCTTTCTCTGAGGTTCAGAGAATGTGAATCTCAGAAATCCTCGGGAAGAATTGTGCCTTGCTTTTCTCTGTGAAGAGAAATGTGGCAACACCTCTCCACAGCACGCCTCGGCACCCTGCTGAAGTCTGTCCATCAGTCAGACCCACATGAGTGACCCTTCTCCTGCCAATACTTAAATGCTCCCACATCTTACAAAAATGTCAGTCTTAAAACACAAGTCTAAAATTAAAGTTTATTTCAGTTTTAAAAAGAAACAGGGAAATACATACATGAGTATCTTAAGAGTTACACAAGTGATAATGTGATGTTTCTTTTCCACGTGTAGCTCCGACTGCCTGGCACTTTGAGGTAACTTGATATATTTCTCACTTTTTTAGATGTTTTACAATACACACAGAAATACAGCTTCCAGTGGAAACACAGACATTTTAATCCACTTCAAAAAGTCAATTTTAAAATTTTGTTCAGTATTTGGTATAGAAAAGACACCTCAAACGTGACGTGGGCCAGCAGTGTGCAACGCCGTGCTGGTGAACGATACACTGCCAAGGCAGGCAGCTGCCGGGTGCCACCTGAGCCTGTCTGCCCCAGCACTGCTCCAGAGCAGAGCTGCTGTGCAGCCTCCTCTGCCACTCCAGGGACAGCACAGCACTACAGTATCCTCAGTTTCTTCTTCCACCTAAATGGTTTTACCAGCAATTCTTTACAGCCATGGCTCCAATTGCACCTGGAGGGAACTTTGCCTGACCAAGGAAAAAAGGGCTGCGTTTTGATTTACACACTATCAAAAAATATGGACCACTGATTGACAAAGGGTACACACAGATGATACATTATCTGTATGGAATACAGCTTATCATATATATGAGTACAGGGTCTTTGTATTAATGCATTTTTTTAAAGTAATGGTCATATTGATTTACCTGTGCCAATTTGAAAGATAAAGCTCTTTGCCACTATTCAACATCTTTTGCACTTAAAGGATCTTTATTTCCCACACGGAGGACAGCACTTTAAGTACAAATGACTGATGTAAAGCCAATATTGGAGAGCTCTGCTGGACTGAGACTACAGCTGTCAGCTCCTTGCAAGACTGAGCACTGGAGACATGAAAAGAAAAGCAACAACAACAAAATCAACTCACCACACCTAACTCTGAACTCTGATTCTCACATTGAGAATCAGAGTTCTCACATTGAGCAGACAGTCTCCCTGTGTGTTCAGTTGGATAGGGAAACTCATCCTTTTCCTCTCAACCAGTAACATGTGGTAGGTAGAGAAACTAGTTCCCCTGCTCCAGCATTACACTCAGATGCCCCTCAGCAGAAGGTAATTAGTTCAACTGATGTTCTCCAGGAAAATGTGTTAGATGGTGGAATTATCCTGTACTAGATCTAGCTAACCAGTGTTTGCTCTTAATAAAAATACTGGTTAATTAGGAAAATAAATACCTTCAACAGAAATGGTGGTTAAAATATTTTATTTTTTATATAATAGAACATACTGCTGTTTACTTTAAATCACTTTAAAGGCACACATTGTTAAAAATACTTCAAATTTACATCACATGTACAAATGCGTAAAACAGATGTACATGTCACCAAAAAAATACCATATGGCTTCATAAGGTTGAGGCGGGCCTGGGACAATTCAACATATACTTAAATTTTACAGGATGCTGCTAACAGTGAAAGGACTGACTAGAACAGAAAAGAATGGACCTAAAACACGGATTATGTTATATAAACAGTACAACACACTGAATACACAACATCAAGAATCTGTGTATGGATTCATACAATTGTTAGTTCTGCAAATTCATCACTTTCCAGTGCCACTGAATAAACAGTGCATGCATATGATCTGCCAATTTGCAACAGTGGGAAGACAAATTGCAAATTCTCCAAGAGGTTCTCTGAAGAATCTCCTGATATGCTTTGTAAAAAAAGAAAAAAAAAAGAAAGAAAAAAAAAAAGAAAAAAGAGAAAGATTGAAACAGTAGACTTAAAGTACTGACTGGAGAGTATAACTGAATAACAAATGGACACCTTAGATGGTAATCACTTTTGGCTAAAAAGCATAAAACATCAAGTCTACAAGAATGCTCCATGACAATCATTTAGCATTAGTCCCACCCAAGATTAAGGCTCCTATCTAAAATTTACCTTAGATTTGTTTTCCTTTGTGTAAAATTACCTGAGCACAGATATCAAAGATCTACAGAGCTTTTAAAATACCTGCGGATACTTTAAAAATCTGTAGATAACTTAAAGCAAAATATCCATATATTTAATTCTACCAGCTAAATATTCTCAAGAAAATAACCAACAGAACAACATTTTGGTATGTCAGTAAAGACAGGAGAAGAGTGAGCTTAAGCTTATGCTTTCATCTTTTAAAAATGTACATAAAATGTAATAGAATTATTCAAATAGGACTGCTTAATTGTAAACAATACATTAAATGTTTTTAAAAAACAGGAATCAAAATTTAGGCAGTTACTCTACTCTTCTATAAATTGTTTACAAATGCTGCTTCTCCTCTTGCTAGAGATGGCTGGTGGTTTCTTAAGCACTAATAAAAAGAAAATAAAAGGACCTGCCCCCACTGTTTTCTGTATTATCATTTACACTTTGTGTCCTAGAAGCATGAACTGCTGTCATTCTCATTTGCTAAGGTTTATTCCCTGGACACCTGTAAGGCCCAGACCCAGAAGAGCACCTAGCATCATCTTAAGAGCTCTGCAGAATCGGGTTAGATGCAGTAAGGTTTAAAATAAACATGCAGTTTAATAATGTGCTGCACTGGAACTCATACAATTTTCAAAAAGCAAGGCAGAAAAGCATCAGGTTGCATGGACAGACCAGCTCCCAGCAAAGTCAATGCCATCACAGAGAGGAGCATCAGAATCTTAAATTTAAAAGCTCAAAAAAGACTACACTGTAGAGAAGATAGATGTACATACTTTTAGCAAACAAAAGACTGTATGGAACTATTTCCAACAAAAGCCTTTGGAAATATACCCTATTAAAAGTGGTTTCTGGATTTTATTGAACCAACTGAAAAACCACAATGAAACACAAAACACAACATCACCTTTTCCTCCTCCTGCCTCACATACTGGTTCCAATCTTTCATTCCCAAAAGAAATGAATACAGATAAAGACCTCACTTTAAGCAATGAGCAACTGTACATAAGCCTGAGGAGCAAATGGGACTTTTCCATTCAAATACATTGGGTTAACTTTGATATGACAATGTTATCTGTGTTGTTGAACTAGGACTAGCTGATTGCCAAGGGCATTTTACAATCACTGACAATCCTATAAAAAGGGAAGGTACCAAAAAATTCCAGTGAAATATGAACCTAGGATTAAAAAATAAAAAGAAAGAAAGAAAGATTGATGATGGATGAGTGTTCCAGATATTTAAAAACAAAGTAACAGCAGTCTGTAGTACCCATAATTCTGCATATAAATAGCAGGTAATGCAAATAAAATGCTACATTTGGTTGAAAAACTAAATTGAACACTGCTTTCCTATTAAATAGATTAAAATATTCATCCACCAAGAAATTACATTGATAAATAAAACATTTTCATGTAGCAAAAACAAGAGGCAGGTTAATTCCAGGCTTTTTATGCCAAAGATGAAAGGTGTGAGAAACAAAAGTAAATTGTACAGTAGTTCTAGTCTCTTAAATTTACAATACTGGAACCAGCAGGATTTGGCTAAATAATACAGTTTAAATAAGCTAATCTAAAGGAACAGAGGATCCTGTAAACATGTGACACAAACCACATTGCATTCTGATGGGGTGGCTATACCTTCTCTATGCAGGAGAAAGACAATTCAACTGGTGGCGGTAACAAGGGATGCAATCTAAAGGCAACGTTCCTGTTCTTCAGTAAGGCTTGTAAAAAATTTGAGCCATATATGTATGACAGCCTGTACAATTCTGAAATTTCTGAAAGCTCTTAAGTTTAAAAAAGCCTAAATGTTTTAGGTATAAAACACACATTGAGAAGATGTCCTTTTAAATTACGTGTAAAAGTGTCTGGCACCAGAAACGAACACTTGGTATTATTATACCTAAGAAAAAAAGCAAAGAATCCCTCAAGTGTCCATGAACTTCAGGAGATGCAGCTGATTAGGTTACTTTGTGTTGTTCTTTCCTCTGGAAAAGGAGCCATGAACACACACCCTTTAAGCTGCCTGTACTACAGCATCAGTTATATATATATATATATATATAATATATAATGCATATATATAGTGTACATGTATATAGTATGCATATATAATATATATATATATTTGCATACACATTTCTTTTACCTCAATCTGGAATCATCTGATTTCATGCAACACACCTATCAAGAATCAAAACTATTAATTAGATCATAGCTGGTGTAACTTTAGTATCAAATCTTTTATTATATAGTGATTGAGTGTTGCTCAGCATCAATCAGCTCGGACTAGAATCCTCATCCTTCAGTCCAGTTCATGCGTTGCCTCCATCACCCTTTCCTCAGCCACCTTCTTCACACAGAGCCTCTATTTGTTGGTCACTGCTGAGGCACCTCTGTCAGCCTCTGAAGATAGCTCTGTGTTGCTGGCATTGAGAGAACAAACTGAACTGTCCTGTGACCTATTCGGTAGCAGCTGTATCCCAGCAGTCCAAAAACTGTTGCTTTTAAAACAAATTTGAAAATCTTACTTGAAGCTGATGGAGGAGGCACACTGAAACAAAAGATAGAAAACAATATTTGCATAGCTGGAAACAGTAAGCATTTTTCAATTAAAAAAAAAGAAAAGGGATCTTTTCTCCCCTTCCTCCCCATAGAGCAGGAAATTTTCAGGTAACAGATGCATCATGAATGAACAATGTATTCTTTCATGTTCAAGCCCTACATACAATTAAATGACAATAAAAATTAATAAACACTAACAAAGCCCTTTCTACAAATGCCGCTCTTAATGGCTAGGAACGTTTACTTGTCCATCACCCTGCAAAATAACGAAGACAATATTCAGACTTTTTGAAGAATACTACAAGAGAATATTGAGATTTTCACAGAGCCGTTTGGATGTCTCTGTACTGGCCACCTGAATCAGGAGGGCAGAGGACAACAGGGACACCAGGTCTAGCCCCCAACATTCACAGTCTCACTGTGAATGTGTAAAGTTGACTTTGAGAGCACAGCCACATGCACGTGCAGCCCTGCACCCTCACTAACAGGCTCTGCACCCACGGCAACTCACGATCCTCTCACAGGTAACTCAGAGGTTTCCATATATGATTGCAAAGGAGCTTCAAGTCATCATTTATTTACAGCCAGAAAAAGTTTCTAATGTATTCAGAAGTAATCAGTTACAATAGTGCAAAAACACTGGGTGCTCTCAAACTAGGTTAAATGTGCTGAGATTAGGATACAACTAGACTGAGTTTAGATCCATGTGCTCAAACTAGGGAAAAGTTATCACAGCTAAGACTTCACATTACAGCAATATACAGGAGAGTTTAAAAAAAGTGTATGTATTGATCCAAAAATGGTGTAAAGGCATCTCTTTACATGTTCTACCTTTCTCCACCTATTCTTTCTCAATTCTAATACCTCACCACAATTTAAAAAAAACAATTAATAACAGCTGATCAGAGCATGGTGCTAATAATGCCCAGGTCATGGGTTCAATTCCTGTATGGACCATTCATTTAGGAGTTGGACTCGATGATCCTTGTACATCCCTTTCAGCTCAAAATATTCTGTGGCAGACAGTAAGGTCTGCTTGGAGTCAGGTTCAATGCGTGAACTTAAAAATTAGAAATATATGTATGTTTTTATCCAGAAAATTTTCAAGTTCACATTCCAACTTCCAGAATTTAACTAAATACCTGTGAAAGTCTTAAAATCTTGCCACCGTAGAGCAGTGATGAACACTAAACACTCAAAAGAAAGCCCTAACTCTGCTCTGCAACTGCAGTGTAACAGCAGGAAGGGCAAAAAAGTTTGAAGAAAAATAAGTTGCAAATATAGCACTCTTATGAATGTCATTTGCATCATATTATTTCAGAAAATCAAGTTAATGCAATATTAATGTCTTGTGAAAGATACTAGTAACTCTTCTGCTCAGTTATGGCACTGGCATGGTAAAGACAATCACGTCAGAGCCTAAACTTTGATGAGAAAGACCTTCTATGCAGGCTTGAAGACGAGCACTTGGTCTTTGGGCTATTCAGTTCTGTGTTTTCAATGATGCAACCGACAGCCACCATACAACTACACAGGTTATTTGCGAGGGTGCAGAGGAAAATGGACATCTAGTTTGTGACTCCAGTGATGCTTAGCCTTGAAAGATAGTTATAAATAGCTAGGCAGAGCTTCTATACTTTGCATTCTTGAATTCAGACAACAAAAGTCTCTCTAAATCGTATTTTAGATGTCCAAATATAACATTTACGTGGATGTCAGTCTTTTCTGGTTTTCATAGCCTCTGAAGAGATTGGTGAGGTGGTTACATAAATACAATAAACAGATGTGATAAGGCAAGTGTGAATATCTGAAAGACTCCATAATCCTAAAGCACCACATACCAATACTACTAGGCTGTATTATAATCTCTCCTGTATTTCTGAAGTCTTGACCTTTTGTGGCTTTATGGGATACACATAGTCTGAATGCTTTGGTTCTTCAATTCTGTCTTTTACAAAGCATATACATCTACTTTAATAGGTACTTGGAAGCAAGAGTTCACCAGATACATGGCTTAAAACAGCTCATAATTAGTTAGGTATACACATTAAAATAAGTCACTACTTAAGATACACACTTAAAATGGGGTACGAGCAACTGCGACAGTAAGCTTGCCAGAGCCAGCAGTGTCCTGACAAGACAAAAGCTTTACATCCAATTATTTATATTTACCCAAGTTAGACTAAAAGCCTTGTTCTGTTTTCACCATCTTCAACAGCCCTCATTTGAATTTTCATTTTGAAGACTTAAATGAGGATCAACTAATTTTCTTTCTAGACAAGGGCATAGGCTCATCTCTACTTCCCTTCATATTCAACTATTTATTTTTTTCTTTGATATTTTCTTTTTCTTTGCTGTCAGCACAATCTGCAAGCACTGCACAGCAAGTCAGCAAGCTGACAGGGCAGGGATGACAGTAGAGATGCTTCTTCAAGCTGTGACAATCAACCAAAAAAACTCCAAAGAAACTGCTGGTTTTTAGCAAAAGAAGCTGTTCCATCAACATGTAGGAAAGCACAACTCTTACCTCATTATTTCCTGGATCTTTAAGTCAGAATTCCAGTTCTTTTCAATCCCAGGTACATGACCCATGCCAACAACACCAACTACAACAGCTGGGATATATTTTCTAGGTTCATCTAAGAAAAGAAAGATGAAGAGAAAGGAACATATCTATAAAAGAACTAATTTCAAGCTATAAATATGTAGCCAGTGTGTGAGACTACAAAATTGATTTTTCCAAGATACAGGGGCTTTTACTACCACATATTGAAACCCTGTTGTTGCATACTGCTCACCTACTGCCTCTTTCATTGGAAGTCTGAAAAAGTCAGCATGGTTTCTGGATTTTCAGGAATCATTTATTTAATAAATAGACCTGGGCACTGCTCATACTTCAGCCTCAGGGTGACAGGCTCAGCAGATGCATGCTAAATTAACTTCTTTCCTTCTCTGAGTAGGTTATCCTTCTGTGCTGCTTATGAGGAACACTTTTGGTCTTTGCTGTCTCCTGAACAGAGAACCTTCTCTGCTACTTTGGATAATGGCACCTGGCACACAAAGTGTAACAAGATTTGGGCTCACAATCTGAGAACAGCGCTTGAGACCACACCTGCTCCTCTGAAGCTCTCTGTTAAGAGACCTTCAGCAAGAGCAAACCCAGGCCAGTGACATCCAGCAGTTAGCCAGCAACCATCAGACCAATGCAACATATGCCAGCTCTCACCCTCACCTCCCATCTACCATCTATATTTCACAACACCCAAAATGTGGTTTCTGGAAGTTTTCCCTAATGAAAAATATAGCACCATGCCACAATAACACACAAAAAACTTTCTAAGGAATAATAATCAGGCTGCTTTCCTATGGGGAAAATTCTACATAATGCATAAATAAAAAATACAAGTTCCACTGTTTTGCTTTAAATATTCACCCTTGATTTTTCCAGAAAAAAAGTAAACATGTGAAGAGCAGCCCACTTCAAAATGAAACAAAACTGTATTGAAAACACTAGAACTATTATACATATTTACCAAAATGGTTTTTCTAAATTTTCTTTTTTCAGTCTATTCCAGAGTTGCTCTAAAGCAGAACTGCAACTACAACAGTTCTGCACTGAAGTGATGACAAACTATCCTCTTAAGCTATTAAGTAAGAGGTAACATACTTCAGTATGCTTATCTATAGGAAGGGCATGCCGATTACATATGGCAGCAGAATACTTCCAAAGATTGGTCAAATACTATTTTTCTATATGCCTATACCTTGCTGAAACAGCAGAGTCACATATGATTATTACTGCTAGATCACCAAAGTTCCTAGAAGCCCAATTTACAATTATAAAAAAAAACTATGAAGAGTACTGAAATGGGAGATTTAACTTATGAAGAAGTGAGTCCCTTAGCAGCCAGTGACAACAACGAATTTGGTGAGATAATGGGACAAGCGAGATAGACAACTGTCCCATACTGTGCTGTCATACCAGATCCCTGCCTTTTGAAATGGTTGTCTGGCTAATTAGTACTTACCAGTTTTAAATAGCACAATGAGAAAGGAAACAATTTAGAGTCTACTGGCCTAGGTAATTTCAACAGAATAGTAATACCCCTTTTAAATTTTTTAAGCATTGTCTCTTATGTGACATGTGGTATTCATGAACTGAATCCCAGATTTCCTGAAAATTGAACTTTGGACCGATACACCAAGAACACCTTGCTGGTTATAATCTCTGCTTTAAAACAATTACTTTCTGAAGCTCGAGGTAGTTCTATCTGCTTTGCTGCTTGCTTCAGCATGTAGGTCAAGTAAATATCTCGTTCGGAGACAATTGTTCTATGAAGATCAGGGAATTCTCCAATCATTTCTGCCATCATCTGTTCCAGTAAATCCTTCTGTTTGCATTTCTCCACATCATCTTTACTGAAAGAAAGGTAAGTTTTCTCAGTATCTGTTACGCTTTTAAAGGTCAACACAGACAAACTAATGAATAAAAACAATTGGGTGTTACACCTAAATACAGTCTACAGTTCTCTTTCCAGTTTTCCTCTCCAGAAGGAAAATAATCTCTATAAATCTGTAGAACTTGATACCTAACAATGCCTCTGCAGTGAAGGAAAGGGAAAGAAAAGAGGTCACTTGCCTTTAGCCAGTTCAACTGGATTTTCTGCTTTCCCACTTTAAAAGCTGACAAGTCAGCAAAACCACTAGGGCTTCAAAGGCAGGAGTTACCATGGTGCCCCACTTTCAGTGTGCATTAATAAGCTTAGAAGAGCCTACACACAGCTCTTCTGAGGAAGCAGATCTGATCACTGAACACACAGAGACTCTACTTAAGGAACAAAAAAGGTACACTGTAATGCACAGTCTGAGGGCATGGAGAAAGATCTGCAGGTTCCTAGTGTCAATCACAGGTCTTTAGCAGGGGTATCAAAGTTATAAACTCACAGAACAGAAAAATAGCAAACGGGCAGGAAATGCAAAATAAGAACTGCAGGAGTAAATGTAATGTGCTTTTATTCTTTTCATAGGTGCTATAAACCCTTCTGTTAGCACCCCTAGCTGTGGGTCATAGCTTGTGGCAATTAAATTTTCTGGTTTGGCATCACTGTCTATCAAAGAATGACGTCAAACAGGCTTCCTTTAGTTTCCAAGATGAAAAGAATACTACAAACGTCAGCAGGGCAAGCTAAAGGAGAAATGCTAGCTTTCAACAGACCCAGAAACATCAACAAACTGACAATTTTGATGTTGAATTATTACTTCATTTTCCAAGGAATCTCATGTTGATGGCTGGATGTGGAACTCTTATGAATATACAAATTACTGTACTGAGGCCTTTACTCTCTCTTATTTACAATATCCACACACAGTACTGAGAAAAATTTCATTTTCTGCATAAAAAAAATAAAATAATTTAAAGAATTTTTGAAGTATACTAGGAATTCATCAGCATCTCATCTTACACTTCACCTGGAAGTAAGGCACTGAAAGACAAAGGAAGACCTGACAAGATCAGAAAGACAGCTTTCACTTCAAAAATACACATTATTGCAGGATAGTTTGTATATTCATCCTTCTCACTAACTTCAAATTTCGTTGCATCAGGCTGGGTACCCTCATGCTAAAGTCAGACTGAAGAATTGAATAATCCACCCCAAACATAAAACATATGGGGTGCTTATTCATACCTGATGGGGTCAGATAAGAAGCAAAGGCCCCAAGCAAGCTTGACTTTTTGCCAGAAGGAAAGTGCAGCAATTGCTCTCTTAAATGTAACAGGGATGGGCCGGTCACCAAGGTGGAATTTACAGAAAGGTACTTTACTGGCCTGAAAGGGAAGATACAAATAACTAGTCAACATTTCATACTGCAGCACAGCATACTCTTTATTAATGAACGTTAAGGATTTACTGTGTTATACAAGGTATCTTAAAGAGCAAGGTACTTCCTACTTCAACATAAAAAAATATTTTGGCTTTGCAATAAGTAAAATTTACAAAATACTACTACATTACTTCATAAAGGAATAAATCCACCACACAATGCAGTAGGTATTACAGTAAAAACCATTAAATTGTAATGCCACACCCCTGAGGTTACTTGCACTGAAGACAAAGCTTCTGATTATAACTACATAAGGTGACAATGGGGCTCAATATCTATCTGGGCCTGAATAAAGTCTGAGGTGAACCATCACTGGTGTCATCATTTTGCTTTCACCTAGGATTTGTCAGGATCATCAACCTAACAGTTGGTCATTGTAAAAGACATTAAAGAAAGAGCTTATGAGACAATAACTGATGCCAGATACCATGTGATAATGTCAGACTTGGCTATAGCTCACACTGACACATTTTAGCACAGTACAGAATTTCTAGAAAATTCTTTTCTATGGATAGTTGTTTAAAAATTTTCAGCAATCGCTTTAGAATAGGACAGAGCTAATTTTTATTTTCTTTCCCGCTTAAAATGGGAAACACTTAAAATGTTTCATTCTGGTCTAGAATGCTCAAGAAAATAAACCTTCAAGAAGTTTTCTTTTTATTAAGGATAAATATACCAAATGATTCCAGATTATTTATCAGCAATGTCTCTCAGATTTCCTTACTAGTACATAATTTACATTAAAATAGCAAGATACATTCTGCAAGATGGATGCAGATACAGAAAATAGTGTCCAAGTATCCCCAGACAAAAAAAATAAGAGTAGTGTAAAACACAGCTACTACTTAATTCCAGTACCACTGCTGGCAGTAGTACAAAAGGTGACATTAAAAGACCATGTAGGACTAACAGATCAGTCAGATATTTCACTTCCCCAGTCTTTGTAGATGAATGGAATGTGTCAGATCTCATTAATCCTTTAGAGCTGGTTTTCATGGCCTGAAATCCTGACACCACCAACAGTGAAACCAAGATCAATATTGAGAATACAAAATAGTTATTTAAAAGAAACAAAATTATTAATGAAAACAAATGTCTTCAGAAATATCATCAGGAAAAAGCCTTATTTGAAGCCTTTTTAAAATTGCTTTCCTACTACTTATGTCTACAAATTTTTGTCCCTTAAGGTACAGTTTGAAGTCGAAAATGATTTTTACTACTTCATTGGCTTCAGCAGAGGTATGGTCAGAGTGCTCTTTTCTAGGCAATAGCAAAATAGTTTTATTGAGTTCAACTCTGGAAGCAAAAGGCCAGTAATCTGACCTCAGAAAAGCCATTTCAAGTTCGCACCTCTTTGAAAGCCTCCCTGAATTCTCCTCCTGGAGCCATTCCCAGCTGTTCTGTGATGTGAGCAGAAACCTTCAGAAGCAGCATTTGCATCAATCCAGACATGACTCCGTTCTGGCAGAAGAGGGAGAAAAACATGTAAAAAAGCCAGGCTGAAGAATGCACTGTTCACAGAAATGAAAAAAACATTAATTATTTTAATGAAGAAACAACACTGAAGCTACATTTTGGAGCCAATTCACTGATCAATACAGCCCATATGTCAGTTTTTATCAATTTACCTCACTGTGTGGCCAAAGTATTCTGCCCTTCAACAAAAATGTACAACGGGTTAGGAAAATAAAGAAGGATACCCAGATTTATTTCAGTCTATATTTACTCTGTGTGCTTGAAGCAAGTGTCTGAATCACTTAATGGTTAAACAGTTCTGTGGTATGGACACAGAAGGGAGAGAGGAAGCAGGAAGCCAGGGAGAAGGTAAGAAAAAACCTGTCTTATCAGTTTGGTTTAAGCCAACTGTGACTGCACATCTCCAGGTTATCCACATTTGAGCCAGATACCAGTCTGCACCATCTTGTTAAGGGTTTTGAAATTCACTGAGGAGCTAAAGAAAGTCTGGTTTTAACCTGCAGCAGTTACTTGATAAGCTGTGGATGCCAGTGATCCATTGCAAATATGTATGTTTCATGTTAACATTCTGCTCAATTTTCAGCTTCAATTAAGAGCAATGAAATCCAATTTTAGTGCTTAATATTTAATGTAAGTGATTATAAAAAGACACCGTTTGGGCTTTTTTTCCTCATTTCCAAATTTAAGGATGAAAGTAAAAGCAGCTTTGACTTTTAGAGTAGCTTTTGGGCCTGTCTCATTTCAATGAGAGGAGGCACCTAAGGCACAGCTGAGCAACTTACCAACTAGTGTGATTTTTATCAGAGAAAAACAAAGACTATAATTTGGCATGGGACAGTTGGACTGTTCTTCCTGGTTTTCCCTATATAATCCATACTGTTTGTGATTTAAAGGGGAAAGGTTGGGGAATTTTTTGGTTGAGACCATAGATAGAGAAATATGTTTTTTAAAAGGCCCGATGTTCAAATTTTATTATTTGCATTATTCCTGCAAATAAAGTAAAGGAGACTAATACTGACCTATAAGAATAGGAAGGATCCTTGCAGTATTTTCTGGATTTGGAGCCAATACAGTCTGTGTATTCTACTGTGTGCATGCAAGATCACTTCAAGCCCTGGTAGGAAGTGCTAACTGCAAAACTGCCAATGTGACTTTACATCACAGAAAAAAAAAAATCTGCTATTTTGTTCTCATTGTCTTTTTCCTCTTAACACAATAAAAACTTGCATTTAGCTTTGATATAATGAAAAATGTTTCTGTGCCTGTTCACAAGGTCAGAAGACCCCCACCTATGCTGTTCCAGTTGTTGTGAACATGCATTTTGGCTCAGTGCATCAGAATAATCCATCTTACCTAAGATAGATGCAGAAATTCATGCAACATGCAAGTGTTTTGCAGTGTCTTTTCCTTTGATAGGGCACAAAGAAAACAGGAAAGGCATTATTGCCTCCCTCAGCAAGTCAGAAAGCCAGCTCTGAGACCCTGTGTGTGAGCATACACACTGCATAGCTCCGAGCCACTGCAAGTGATTCTGCATGCATGCAGATTCTGTTCCTGTGGAGGGGGGAGGGTAAATCCTGGAAATCCCCCAATTACATCAATAAAGCAATTCCAATATACAGTTACCACACAATCAAAATAACAATCTACAAACTTCTTCATCCAACTGGACACTGAAACTCTTTACTATTGACCAAGCACTTCTAATCAAGTGTCCTGCCATTTTAAAGTCAACTTTGTGTTGTTGCACTGTGTCTAGCTTAAAATCACTCAAATGCAAGCTAGCTAAGTGGAACTGAAAAAATACAGGATTTTTTTTTTTTTTTGCACACACATCCAGACATGTCCACATCAAACTGCCAGAGTAGTTATAATTTGAAGAGAATCCCACACGTTTTAGCCCAAGTTTTTCAGAATCCCCCTTCAGGGCATACTGTCAATTAGACACTACTCCAAAGACAAGTGGATAGGTAGGAATTAAAGAGCAACATACTAGGTTGAAGAAGGAATGCAGCTAAAGAGAAAATACCAAAATTAAGTGCTCTTTAACAGTTGTGATACAGATGAAGATTGTAGGAATAATATTCACATTTAAATATATTAGCAGAGCATTACAATTGCAAAGTTAGACTTGTGTCCTGCAAATGGAGCAGCTATTAAATGCAGGAGGATTCCTGTCAAGGTCAACAATCTGCCCAACCAATCCCGTTGTGAAAAGAAAGTCCTCAATGCTACCTAGTTTTGCCACTGTAATATTACTCTCACCTACATCAACAGTATTAGGTTCCCAGCTGGTGGGAACACTGGTTTTGATTGCAATTTGACAAATTGTTCTTAACACAAACCATTAATTCTCATTGTAGGAATCATACCTGTTTTATAGCTTGTTGAAGTTTTTCCAGATTTATTTCTTTGGCTTCTTTTAGTAACGTCTTTTCATCCATCTTTAACATAGAAACTCTGTACTGGCACAGTTCCACCACAACTACATCAGGCTGCACTTCTTGTATTGTCTGAAAAAGATGAATTTATTTATACTACTTTAGAAAGGAATAAACAGAAATGCAGCCAATATCAACACTTTAAAGAGAAAAAGGACCTTAAGATCACATTCCAATAATAATTTTCAATTAAAAAAACCAGTAGAATAGTAAATAAGAGTTCTCGAAATAACTATGCATTGATAAAAATATTAAGGAAGGACAGCAAAATGTCTTAGCTACTGGATGCTTTGGGACAGGATAATGGTGAACATATTGTGCTGGGGAGGGGAGCAGGGAAGAAACACTTCACGTTAAACTTTTCACATTCACAAAATTAATTTGACTGTTCTCTGTGGTATTTTGCCATTTGAGTTAGAATACACTTTGTGCCAGAACTGTCAACCCTGCAACCCTGGTTCTTACAAGATTCCTCCCCCTCTACCTCCTGAATAGAGGTAGTCTAAACTGCAAAGTTTGCAGGAGGTACAATATTAAATAGTTCCTACTTGCACTAGGGCTTCAGACCTATTTGCAGCTTGAGAATGGAATCCAAGTTTTATGCAGCATGGTTTTATAGCCAAATAATATCCAGGCAATGTAAGCTTCACTAGTGAGATTTCTACTTTCAACACTGATGCTGTATCTGCCTTTTTCACTGAAGGGCAAATAAAAATATTTGAGCTGGGAGACCAATGTATTGCATCAAAAATTATTACTGTAACATATCTGCTTCTCATCCCATAGTGCTGTTAGCCCTCCAACAGCCAATTAGAAAAAACAGAACCTGAAGGTTAAGCACAAAACCAAGTCAGAGAGCCGGACTTCATCCTACTTAGTGCTAAGTTGAAACATTGTAAAGATGCTGCTGAAGGGCTCACACTGAGTATTTACCTTTACTACATCCTTTTTGCTGCTGTCACTGAAGTGGGCTGTTCCAACCACATACACTTTAGAACCATCCTCCGTATCAAGCTCAGTCACAGTGCTTGGTAAAGCAGGCCTTTTCTGCCTTTTCTTCAGCTTCATCTCCAGGAGAATTTTAAATGCATCTGCATCAGCTATAAATGTAAAGAAAAACAGAAGAGAAAAGCACACATGATATAAAGCGCAGGTAAGTAAGACAGAAAATAAAAATGTCACCACTAAACAGCAGAGCAGAGCTAAAAGGCCATTGATTTACCACTGTAATCTTACATTCAATTCTGAAGCTACATCATTGAGAGTGCCATCACTGGAGAGGCTGCCTCCAAGCATGGGTCTCAGTCCAGGTTTCCTACCCTGTGGACACTGGGACAGGTTGTCCACGCAGTTCAGTAAGGGAAAGAGAGAAGCTGTGTGGCAGGTGAGGTGGACAGAGAAGCAAAGAATACTTAGAAAAAGTATACACTAAATTAGAGAAAAAGAAAAAAAAAGCATTTTTTAAATTTTAAACCCAAAGTGTTCAGTTTTGGGATTCTTATCTACATAAACAATAGCAACACATGGACACTGGTGTGAATATGATGGCAAAGTCACCTCCACATATTGGCACATACAGGATACCTACAGTACCGACCATAGCCTTTTCTGTGATTAACACACCAGGGATCAGTACACAAAGGAAAATTAAACCTCAAGAGGTATTTAGGTCAGGAATCCAATCATTCTTCCCTAGCTCAACAACTATTTAAGATCAAAATGGTACAAAGTGAGTTTACTCCTCTATGTCAAGCTTGCTGTATGGAAAACAGGAGGATCTATCAGCTCTGTCACAGACGCTCATTGCCAGGTAGTCTCATCGACTGAGATAGAGAAGCTTTAACTCTACATCAATGGGAAATTAAAGTTGCTTTGAATGAGTCATCCTAAAGCTGTAACGCATCTTAGGAAAAAAAAGTATCAAGCAGGAAAGCAGAGTTTTGTTTCCAACCAACTCTCTTTCTCTGGCAAGCTGCTGCACAAGTTAGCAGAGGTCTCAAGTGGTCTCCAGAAGCCTGGAATAGGATCATAAGCCCAGGGGAACAAAAAAAAAAAGATTAGTGAACAGTTTGTAGGCAGGATGTCAAAGATGCAGATAAATTACAGCCTCCTACCACACATTCATTTTATGAATCTGGTTTAACTGTGTGGCTCTGGCCCCAGCTGTGTCCCACAAATACTAATCTTGTAAGACTTTATGTAAAAAAAAAACCAAAAAAACCCCAAACCAAAACCAACCAAACAAAAACTCCACCAAATTAGAAGAAAACCAACCAAACAGAAGAGAAAACCCAACAAAAAAAACCGAAAAGCAACCCTTCAACATCCTTCTTTGCATTTGAGCAACCTGCTACTTCATGGTCAATACCCAAGAACATGGTGTGCTGCAATCAGTACTGTCTGAACTACGACAATGTTGCTGCCAGAACAGTTGGTGATGCTGAGGAGGAGGTAAGCAAAACATGAGTGAAAAAGGAAGTAGAGGTAAGGCTGTTGCATTTGTAGCACTCTCAGTCACATAATTATAAAAGCAGCCATAGCAGATGAACAAAAACCCACCTAAGCAAATATCCCACCCCTCACTATGGTCAAAAGTAAATACCTAATGGAGAACATAATACATGGGGAAGTGTGTGTAATACCTGTCTCAAATACTTTCCTAGCCTAAAGCCATTTATGATTCAGATTCCCCCGCTGAAAGTGGTTTCTACATATTTGGTAACCCTTAAAGGGTGTTAATTTCTATTTATTTTTCAAGCTTTCACCTCACACATACACTCAGTACTGGACTGAATAATGTCTCACATGAAGAAAAAATGTGGTAGTGGTACAGCACCAGATGTTTTAAATTAAGATCACAATTAAGGAAAACATTCTCAGGAGCAGCTACAGTTTTTATTGAACCAACTTCTATATCTGGAGAAAGAAGCAACATAAAAAATTAATCTGCTTCAAGTCTGCATACACCTCCCATAGCTTTAGTCAAGACTCTGTTTGCTCCCATGAAAGCTGAGATCCCTAGGAATTATTCAGCAGTGTTACTATTACACACTAATTTGCCCTAAGGTGCTTCAGAGCCTATTACTTGCCAGAAAGCACAATCGGCATGTTCCTATTGTTATAAATGAGCACTGGATACATTATATCATAACAGTTTATCAATATAGATAAAGCAAATCCTAAGAAGCCTTTGTTTTTTCCTCTTGAGAAAGAAATGCCTGTCATTATCTGATCTTACCAATAACAGGTAAGAAAAGATACTCTTCCTGGGCTTCACAAGACAGTTTTGGCTGGAATACTTCTATTGCCACATCCTGCAGGCTTGCCAAAACATTATCATGCTAGCACGGGCAAAGCTTTTCACTTGGGACAACTCATCGCCATCATATCACTAGATGCCAGACTGTCAAAGCAAACATATACTCATGCATTACTGGCATAGAAAGCAATAGCTAAGCTTAAAACAATAGCTGAGTGTATCTATTAAGTCTAAAAATATTTACTTTTAAAAGTATGGGATCAGCAAACTGACAATCTATGTCATTGCTCTTTCTAAATTTGATTTACACAACTGGGCCTTGAAACAAATCAAGAACAGATTGAATCAGCTATGACTTCATCAGCATCTCCTTTTTTTGCCAACAGCCCTGTCCTTTTTAGGTAAGGAAAAGGCAAGGACATTTAAATACCCCTTCCAGTATGATACACCCTCCCCAGTCCAACCAGAAACATACAGATATTCTGTGATATACTTGACGTTTCCTTTGGGCCATCTTCTGGTGCATCAGAGGACGACATTGGATCTGCAGCAGCCTGTATGAAACAAATTCAGAAAGAGGCTGGGAATTATAATGAAATGTTTCAATACATCTTTCCTTTTGTGAGTTTACTCAATTTGAACCTACCAATAATATTCAAGCAAGGAAGTAATTTAAGCAGTGCCACAGTTCAAAACATCTGTGATTTTACAACTATTTTTCCTAGCTGCCTGAGTATGAGAAAGTACATCTTGAAAACTGACTACTTCATGCCTATTTTAAGAGATAATATTTATACCTGACACAGAGTTTAAAATAAACGGGATTCCAGATAAAAAGAAACAAATTTATCTCTAACACTACTACAGTACTACAGCACTTTGTGTTGAAAACTAAAATGTGCACTGATTATTTTACACCATTTGACTCAACTATCAGTCAGCATTAGTCTGTCAGGAGTCTGACGAAGTTAATCAGTACTCACAAGACTAAGCACATCCATTCTAGAAGAGTCAGGCCAAGTATTTGTTGGAATAAGGCAATTACACAATATGCACATCAAATCTTAAAAAGTTCATGTGCATGTTGACATTATACATATAAAAAATCAAAAGATACAAGGCATCTGCAGAGTTTTGCTCTCTAAAGGAACAGCAGGCAATTGAAAAGATTCACAAAGACTGACTCTTCGATATTATCCCTAGAAGTATATGATACAGGTCTTTGGCTAACAAAAACCTTTCTTATTTTTAATTAAACAGCAAGTTTTAAAACCTGTGCATAAAATTTAAATAATTCCAGTCATTCAGCCAATGTCATTCAAGCCAGAGAGGCAGAGTTAGTGCAGAAAAGGCTCAGGAGTAAGGGAAAGCTAAATTATAAATTACCTTTAGGTAACTACCTTAATTCAAAGTTTAATCAGGATGATTACTGGAAGAATTTGGAATTTCTGAACAACAGTAAGTCAAAAAGTTAGAGATGGGATGAGAACCCATCATCATTTAAGTACTTTCCAAAGGAAAGACAATATTAATGAGTCAGCAAGCAGGCAGACAACCTCCCCTGATGGATGCCAGCTTTTTAGCTAAAATGATTGGTTTATGCACTTTGTACTTAACCTGGTAAGGTTTAAAGCAAGGCTGTATAAAGCACACCCAAATGTTAAGAGCTTTCTATAAGAGTAATTATTTTCTTCTTGCATTCCATTATGCCAAACAGGAATTTTGAGAAAATAAATCCTGATTGTCTTACCGTGGCCCCACTGAAAGCAAGGAAAAATTTATTACACATTTCATGGACTAAACTCAAAAAGTACAACAGCTTTACAGTGCAAAGTTTAAAACAGTCACAGCAACACATCATCCTTTCACTACAAAGCAGAAGTCTGTTCATTGACAACTGCAAACTGCAATTACACTGCAAATTGCAATTACATGCACAAATCTAATTTAACACCAGCTCAGCTTTTGATCACAACATATGGCTTGACTACTGCTTGCATACGTTGAGTCTAGTCACAACAATATTTTGGAAAAATTTATCCATCTGTAACATATGGAATTAATCCTATCACTTATGCTGGCTTTGTCATCACAACATCACAACACTGCAATGAGCACAGCACTAAACCACCACATTAGCAATCTGTTGTTCTTTCTTTTTATTAACAGGACAAAAGAACTGACTTCTTATACTTCATAGGATAAAAACTTCCTGAGCTTCACCTATTACACCAGAAAAAGGTTTAGAGATACGTGGATAAGAAAGAAGAAGAAAAGGAACAGAAAGGATAGAAAAAGCATCTCAATTTAATATGGCAAGGAACTTCAGCCATGTACAATGAGATATATATTATACAATCATTGATTATACAATGATTATATAATCAGGTTCTGTAATTTACTCACAAAACCTTTTTCCTCCTAAAGGTTTAATCTCATAGGTTAGGCAATTTTATGCAATTCCTCACATGCAAGTAGAATAATAGAAAATACCCATTTTAGCTTTTGCAAGTGGAAGGAAAGAGAACCAGAAAAGAACCTAAATGTATCAAGAAAACTAGCACTCAGCTCTCCATCCCCATTTTAAAAGGGGTCTCACACCAGCATTATCAGTCCTAAGACTTTGCAGAACTTGCCCAAAAATAAGTGGAAGAACCTGGCTGATTCAGTCTTGACCTTCCCTGCGATTGTACTGAGATACAAATTTCATCTTCCCTACCTCAGGCTGTTGCTCCTCTTGCATTCCAGAAGTGTAGGCTTATTTTCACCAATCACCAATCACACAAGAACTGCAAGAAGTAAAAAGAAATGGGAGGGAATTAAAAATTATTGCCATAAACCAGAATATTTGCTCAAGAACTGTCCAGGGAAAAAAAAAAAAACAAAACAAGAAAAAGATGTGTCTCTACAGTCTCTAATAAAGGCTGAAGTAATAAAAGCAGCAAACTGAAGAGGCACAAATGTCACCTCTTCAACTCTACTGCCATTCAGAGAACCAGAAAAACCAACAGCAACTCCCCCAGCGGTAGGTAAAACCAGCCTGTTTCAGTATGGTTCTTGAGGTGGCTCAAGCCAGAGGACAGTTTCTGCAACAGCAGAAATCTTGCTCAACTTATTCAGTAGTTCTGTGCAGTTCATATCAACTACATCAAGACAGTTTTCAGGCAGATTTTAGGAATCATCTCTATTTCTAGTACTTTACTGCTGCACAGAACAGGAGACCAGTCACAGTCTTCATATTCAACTATAGTAATACATGTTGTTTTATCTGCATCATGTGACCACATATATTTATAAATATGCCAGGGTTAGGTCAGCTAGTTTCTGTGTGACAAACCCGTGAAACTAGGTTTTCAAACCCTTACTGAATGGTTTCTATGTTTTATTTAACGACAGGGATAAAGGAATCTTAAAAGTCCAAAGTTCTTCCTGACACTGACAGAGTACTGTGATTTGACTTGGGTGGTACTCTGAGGTGATTACATGAGACAATGAATGGACTAGTGCTCATTCTGCTTATTCTCACTGCCATCCCACTAATACTGAAGCACTCAAAGAAAGTGATGCTTCTCTACTACAGCATTTTGGGCTACCCCCATTTGAGCTATTTCACAGTACATGTGATCAGTGTTTTATTTAATTAAATAAAGAGAGAGCAATCCTGAACAACTTATTCATCGAATATGTTTGCAGTCCCGCTCTGAGGAGTAGACAGACAAGTCTGGCTCCTGCCCTATGGTCATATGAGGCTGGAGAAAAGCTGGCTGTCATTTGGGTGACCGCATACTTCAGCACACAAATGTGATGGCAATGGCAAGCCTCCCTCTTCCCCAAATACAAAAGTCTCCTGCAGTCGAATCAGTGCTCTGCATTCTGGTTTCTAGAAAGCCATTTTGCTTTCTAGCTTTGCTTAAAATACATTTCTTTAAAAGAGCATTTGCCTGGGCAGGTGAGTGTAATTCTGTTCACTGGCACATCTTCCACCATGCTGCAGGGATCTCAGAAATTTGTGTCTTCTCACTGTCCACTGCTCATGGTCAGCCAGCAAACCTGAGATCACAGCTGTAGGCTGGGCAAGAAAAAAGTAGAGTGGCTTCTTCACGTTCTCTAGAGCAAAATTCCCTTGAAACCCAACAGATTCCCACAGCTTGAGCAGGAACAGCTACAGACACAACTCCTGAGCTGTGAGGCAAATACCTCATTAAAACAAAAAAATACACACTGCAACACAGTCCAAGAGGTTCATTAAAACAAACTATTCAAAAATATGCAAGAAGTCTGCACAGGCAACATAAGCACTCCAGTGGTTGTGCTACAAGGCACAATTGTAAAACCAGGACCTTCCTGCCTACATGGTGACGTAGGCAGTAAACTACACTGGAAAGCAGGCTCAGTTTCAAAAAAACACCACTTTTTTCCCCCCACTCTACCAAGACATTTTTAGTTCAGATGATTAAACAGCTGCAGGAAGAACTTCAGCACCAAAACTTGAGGAACAGCATGAAGCGGAGACGCTGAAACCAGCTCTGAGAAAATACTTCAACTACAGCATCACTCAGTGTGTACCAATACTCTGATGCTCAGCTCTGGGCTTGGTTCTCAATTGGTTTGTGTGCAAAACACCACAGTGTTTTTCTGTCAGTGAATTAGCTGGCCCTAAATACAACCTAAACTTCTAAGCTTGATTAAGGTCTGCTGGCATTTGAAAATATGTCTCTTATCTACAGACTACTCTTCAAACTAATGAAGTGCAAGTTTCATTTTAAAAATAGACTCCTATACAGCACTACATGGTATTTTTTCCCACCAAGTGACATTTTAGAAAACGTCATCCCATTCTCACTACTAGCTAAATTATATGTCTGATACTGGTGGGGGTGGGGGAGAGAACTTCTTTGACTTTTACTCAAGCTAACTAGCACGGGTATGCACTTCCTTTCACCATGTCCAATAGCAAGAAAAGGAGCCAATTCAGATAAAATTCTGGCATCATCTGAACAATTTACATACATGCATTTCAAAATTTATTGGAGTTTAATTTTCCAACCTGTGTTCTGGGCTTTTTTTTTAATTTTTTTTTTTTTAAGTTTACTTTCCTAAAGAAATTACACAAGGTAACAAGGCATCTTATTTGTTTGTGCTTTTTCACCCATAGGTGAATTTTCAACTATTTTGGCAAGCAGGGAAGAGTCTCACAGTCATTTAGAGGTGCAACACACAGCACTGCCCCTCCAGGAGAAACAGATCACTGAAGGTTAGACGAAGTGCTTGTGAAAAAGAGGCAGTCCACAGAACTTGCCAGGGAACAGAAGGAAATTCAATCCCAAACTGAAAAGCCACAGGCAAAAAAAAAACCCTGTTCAATTATTTACAGTGTTCCATAATATGTATTACTGCAATATCTCATAACCTCAAGTTCTACTTACCATGAGATTTGGCATGAACATGTGAAACCAATCAAATTCCCCATCTCCAGCTACTTCAAAAGCCTGTAAGAGCCCCTTGTGAGATATACCATATACTGAAAATCTCAGACATGACAGTGCACTTCTTTCAGATGCACTGGGAGATGCAGCTTTTAGGCACTCATAAAGATCAGAGATTAGGAAGTATTTCTGTTCTCGTATCTGCCAGGAGACTGTCTTAATCAGGGACTCATACTCCTGATTCAAGTACTACCAAGAAAATTCCTGGAGCTAGAAGAAACAAAGACGGGTGATTGATGATTGAATCTCCACCTCAAACACCTTTTTTCCAGGCATATGGAATTCTTGTGCTTATTGCATCTTTGTTAGTCCAAGGGGACCTGCCTTTCACTGGGCCATTAAAAACTGTTGTTTATACATACATATGTGAAAAAATGAAGCCCTTTTGCCAACTCTTAAAATACCTAGGCAACCAAACAGGAATTTTTAAGACCACTAAATAAACTGCAAACCTAGAATTTAGCCATTACTCATCTCTATTGATAGGCACATATTTCCTCTCAAGCTCTTCTTGTTCCTACAGCACACACAGGACAGTCATTGCTACTGAGAAAAGTACTGCCAAAGAGGGGCTGTATTTTTCCTATGCACATGGGCATTATTCTCTTTCCCCCAAAATAGCAAGTTCAGAAAGGAACACACAGAAAGGTTCAACATCTTCTAGCAACGCTTACTTACCCTGCACAGACACTGGCAAACCAGAGGCAGAAAGAACCCCCTGCCATGCTATTTCACATCAGCCCTCCAGTTTTCCGAATATAAACCAGCTTCAGCAGCACTTTGCACAAAATCTTCTTGTGAACTCATTTTTCATACCTGATAGCCTTAGTCAGCCAAAGTGTTTCGGTTCCAGCTTCATATTTAGGCATCTGAAACTCTCTCAGCTTGCAGTCTCAAGAACACAAGAGGTACTTGCACTCACAAATCACAGCTTCCAGCAAGGTAAGTTAAAGAAAAAAAGGCCCTTTCCTGTTTCATTTCAGTGAGATAGTTCAGTGAGAAAATTCAAACACCACACAGAAAATTCATTACAGTATCCTCCTGCAGTAGGGCTAAACTTGTTCCTTTAACGTCTTGTCTAAATTTGCTTCCTCCAGACAGTGATTCAACTGAATCGATAAAAAAGCTCTCAAAAAACCTCTCATGCTCCTACCCATAAAACAACATAGTCAGCTACTTTTTAACAAGATTTTTATTGGATGTTGTCCTCCTTCTGAGCTATACAGAAATTCAGAAGCAGCACTTTGTTTCCTCAACATGTTGACACTGCAAGAGGGAAATAAAAGTTGTCCATAGTCTTATAATTGCTCTGTATTTTCCATGTGCTGCACACACACCAGCATAGCTAGTAAAGAAACTAGGAAAGGAGTCACCAAACTACAGCTTGTTCCACCTTTTATTGAAAGGAACAGGAAAAATTTCTGTGTTGGATCCCCTCAACAAACAAATCTAAATGTATCTATCAGTGCTTTTGATAGCTACAGTATTCACTAACATTGCAGAAGGTACTCACATCTCTTGTGTTAATCAAACTGTTAATCTCAAAGTGTTGATCCTGTAGCCTCTGAGATAGGATTGTACGTTCGTTCCTGTTTACAAGTAAGTAACTGAGGTATATGAATGCTTAAATACATCTACAAATCTGACCTCTGATAGCTAAACAAGTAGTTAGAAGGCTCATGAAACTTTCAAAGCATTTCAATTTTGCAATCTGAATTTTCCTTTCTTTTTAATCATTGGTCCTTCTAGGATCCTCACGCACCCCACAGGACAGCACTTCCTCCTAGTAACGAGGCACCGCCACCCATCCTTGGTCCTCTAAAGCTGCTGTGGGAAAGATAAGAGATAGGCTGAGTACTGAATTTGAGAGCAAGCTGTCAAACAATAAGGTGGGAGTCCTCCACTGAGAATATAGCACAACTCACACAGGTCATGCTACAACTAAGCCAAAACTGTCCTGAACTGGACATAAACCACAGGCAAACACAAAAAGACTATGTCACAAACAGATTCATGTGCGAGCCCCCTAACACCAGTATCCCTGGCCAGAACACAGCTTCCATCAGCTTGGCATGAGATGCAGCAATAGAAATCTACCTGCATCTATGTGCATCAGGAGTGCTGTGTTCCTTTCATCCTCTAAACCTGCAGTTCCACTAGCAATGGATATTTGATTTAGCCTGTATATATTTGAATTAGCTGGTATAGCCTGTACACTTTACATTAATATTATGTGCTGCATAAAGACATCTCATTTGAATACTGCTACTGTTTAACAGGAT